CCTTTCGGAGGAAAAGCCCAGGAATAAATAGTTGCTGTAACGGCCAGGGGTATTGTGTAGCATTATAGCCTCCAGCTGGTCTATTACATACTATAGACAGGCAAAGAATACGAGCACCTGACAGATGTGTTCTGTTAGCTTCATTAGGAAAGAAACAAAGAAACTCCTCAATTAATAGCAGCGGAGCCAAATGGGGGTGGGAGGGGGGAGCTTGAGGGGAGAGGAATCATAGCCTGTTATTTAAACAGAGTCAGGGAGCCTTTCACTAGTGGCTTAATATGATTCATTAATAAAAACAGCTTTTTGAATGCCCAGTTTAAGTCAAAAGAAATCACCAGCATTTTTTTTCCCCAGCAAAGGAAGGGCAAAATGACAAATTGCCGCTGTTAAATTCATTTCATGTGGGGATGGCCTTTCTCAAAGATCTCTTAAACTGCAAGGCTGGGTGTTTGTCACATTAAGTGGCAGAGCGGTTCTCAAAAATCGACTGTGGCACATCAGGGTCTCAGATGAATGGCCAGCAGTGGCCATCCAATAATTTTATACATCCAGACCAGGAAGCGTGTAGTGTTGTTTAAATGAACGAGCATTTTTAAAGTAATGAAATGCAGCTCTTACCCCGAAGAAAGGAAAATCTGTCCAGGGAATCACTTTTAATTTTTTTTTTTCCTTCTTGGAATGGTTTGAAGAACTAGGGAAGCCCTGTGACTGTGGGGGCTCATTTCTTACAAGGAGTACAAGTCTAATGGTTTCTCCTTTTAGATCTCCTTCACTGAAGATGTACAGTGGACCCACGCACGACATAATATACAATTGTGAACAAGGGAGCTACGTATTGTGTTCGCAAGACAGGAGTTTTGAATGAACATGGTTCTTTTCCCATGCAAGGCAAAAATCTGCGGCAACAATGCTTCTCTACTTGTAATTTTCGAGCGGTACTTTACAGAATGTTGCTTGCATTCAGGAGGCTAAAGTAGACATTATAACTCAGCTACTGGATATAAGGAGAGAAAAATAAATTCCAGGCCCTTTTCCTTCTATCCACCACCCCCTATCACCTCCACTCAATTGACATGATGCAGGTGAAAAGAGCTTAAGGATAGAAATCTGGAGACTTCAGGGGAAATTCTGGCCTATCATCCAGGTAATTCAGCCATAATCCAGGTTAAATGACCATGAGTCTATTAACCTGCAGTTTTCTTATATGCTAAGAATTCATGGAGAGCAGGAATAGCTCTCCATGAAGTGGAATAGCCCCGGGAGCCCTGGAGTAACCTAGGCCAGCAAGGATATGCTCCAAAATCAGAATGAAATGATCATCTGTCTAATTGGGATGTTGCCCCGCCAAAGAAATAGAAATCAAAACATAAATAGTCATGGCCAAATATGATGGGCCAGGCTCTTTGTGATGGAAATGTAATTGTAAATCTTGATGGCCAACTCAGGCTGGGATGTCTTGATGCTCTTCAGTTTCTAAAATATACTCTTGGCTTCCATTTGTAATCCCACCCCCCGAGAATAATAGCTACAGAACAAGAAGGGCTAATATCTACTCCCACCCGAGTAGGAATGAAAAGGAAAAACAGCAAGCTTTCCTGGAAGCAAAGGCATTTTTCACCCAAAAGTGTCTTCGTACATTGCTACTATTTCACATTTGACATCAAAGAACTGAAAATATGAAGCGTGAAAGTTCAGGACATGAAACCATTGTGTTCCGACTCTAAGTCATTACGGACACTAATCTTCAGAAAGTGGGAATAGTTCCACTGGTAGGTAACCATTCATTATAACTTAGAGTTTCTTCCCAGAGACCTACTGAAAGAAAACTTCATTATCATGTGTTGGCAGATCTTCATAGAATGCAATCTTTCCAACCTAAAATCAGCTTTTAAGAGGGTGCAGGGAATGTACCAAACTGCCACACAGAGATGAGGTCAAAACTCAAAATCACACACACGCAAAGTTTGGTGCAAACTAACAAATTATAATCCCAGCCTGCGTGTTCAAATCACAAAATACAGAGTATTCCAGCTCGTTTAGAAAAATACACTTTGGACTTTTATCACTTTTCCTTTTTCTTGGTGCTTTAAACAGCTCAGAAGCACTGATGCACATTTGGTTTCAAACAATGCCAGACGCCTTGCACATTACCCCCAATTCCTCGTTCCCCCTCCCTCCCACATGCACCATATTCGGATGACCCTGCCTTGTCCAGGAGATATACTCTGCTGTCCATCCACCCCTTCTCACTCAGCCCCACATCATTTGTCACTGGGACCACTGAACACTCCTTTCAGTTGGTCTCTTTGCCTTCTAGACTAAACCCTTGAAACCCAGTCTTCACTCACCTGGCCCAAGGAGTTTTCTCAAATGAGAGTCAGACCAATTACTCCTCGGTCCAAAAGTATTCCATGGCTCCTGTCACTTAGAAATGGAGCCCCACGTCTTCAGCCTGGTATACAATGACCAAACGGCCCTTCTTCTGCCTTCCACAGGGTTATTAGTTACAGCAGCTTTTCTGGAGGTTTTGTGCAGTCCCCTACACACACGGCCATACGTACGGGGTTAGCAAGCTGCGGGATTTCCCTTCTATTTCACCTTATAGAGAGAGTTTTTATCAGGAAGGGGTGCCTCACAGAAAGTACCCTAAGGACTGGTGCTAATCACAAATGACCCATATTGCACTTAACACTTACCATTACACATATCAGGTGAACAAACGTACATCTCTTCTGATGTGTATTCATGTGTGTGTTCCTGGTTCATTCCTATACTGATCTAATGTCTTTAGAACTTTCTCTTACTTTATTTATCTCCACGTCCCTCACACAATGCAGTCAGCACAGACTCACTCTCTTGCACAGTACATTCCTTGCAGTCAGGTGCGGCATCTACATAATCCTGTTTGCTCAGTACCTCTGCATGTAGAACCCATGATTTCATAACTTTGTTACACATGGAGAGTTGAAAGGTAGAGAGTTCTGGTTTGATTTCTCTTTCTCTAGGATTAATGTCTGAAAAGAAAAAGTTTTAAATAGAGAACATTCTCAGATGGAAAAATGCCTTGTTTATCGAAATTTGTGCCTGTGGCCAACTACGTTCTTTGGGGTGCGGGTGGCGCTACACATTTGCTTTCAAGAGTATGGAGATGGCTTAATTGGGACCACACGCTGAGAAAGACTTTGCATACTGTTTCCCTACTAGCCGGAGGAAGAATCACATTCTTAGAGATTTCCTTCTGTTTGGAAATCATTCGTCTCTCTTTGGCTGCTCACAGACTCGCTTAGATCTGTCACAGGCGGGCTCAGGCGAGTACAAATAAGAAAAGTGTTTGTGAGCAGCTAAGCCTGTGTAGATCCTGTCTCACTCTACTGTCCCTTGTCTCAAACAGCTCCTCATACAAACTCCTAGTTCTCGCATCTGTCAAGAAGCCTGCTGGTTTTAACATTCCATTTTATTGTCAAGAACTCAATTCTGTCCAGGCCTCGGAACCACACAATGAAATTTTATGGGCATTTGGATTTTTTAAGAAAAAAAAAAACTTATGTATCATTTTCATTATGTTTGAGATTGATATCTGTGATCTTTTCTTCCATTCTACCCTTTCCTTCTAACTGGAGTCTCACACACACACACACACACAAAGAGAAATAATTGGCTTCTTTTTGGTACAGTGTACAAACCCTTTGGTTGGGAAAATTTTCAAAAGAAAAATGATTAATAAAATCCCAGGACCTTCTCTTAAGGGATAACCTTAAGAGAAAAGAAAACTTGTAAGAAAAGAATAAATACAACTGTAAAATTTTAAAGCAAATGTATAAAAAAAACCCTACAAGATAAGGTAGTAACATACTACTCACAGCAAGTATGAGCAATTGTTTCTCTTTTCTATAAAGAAAGTACATTTAAATGAGTGAGAAAATACGAGGGTCCCCACAGCCAGATGCACAAAGGGTGTGAACAGTTCACAAAGGAGGAAAGCATCTGAACACAGTAATAAAGAAATGCAAATTAATACAGCCAAAATACCATTTTTCACTTTTGCAAAACTTTTTCAATAACGCTGCTCAATATTCACAAGGCAGAGGTGCAACTACGAAGTGACGTTCTCACATTGCTTGTGGAATATAAATTGACCCTGTTCTATAGGAAAGCACTTTGACAGTCTCTCCAAAGTCCTTTAACGTGACTATTCATTTGCCCTGAAATGTAGTTACAGAAAATACTTGGAATTGAAGCACCTTTTTGAAAATATGTGAATATATTTATCTCCATGTCAATTTCAATAATAAAACATTAAAAACATATCCTGAGTGTTTGTGATATAAGTGGAATATACAACCAATAAGTTATATGTGCCCAAAGGTTTGACTCCTCTGAGGAAATGCTAATGGCATTATATTCGGAGAAACAAAAAGAATATAGGATTGTAGTTGTTTTTGCTCTCGTTTGAATTTGAAAAGCTAGCTGATTTTAGAAAAGATACACTCTTGCTGTAATTATATGTATATATACTATCTAATGGTAAAATGTCTTTAAAAGACTACAGCAAATGCAGAAAAGTTGTAACCCTCACACAGTAAGAGTAGTGGGATTACAGATAAGACAGTAGTCCACCCCTTATCCGTGGGGGACACATGCCGAGACCCTCAGGGGTGTCTGAAAGCACAGATAGTACCACGCGTTAAATATGCTATGCTTTTCCCCTGTATATACATGCCCATAATACAGATTAATGTATAAATTAGACACAGTAAGAGATTAACCACAATATCTAGTAGTAAACTAGAAACATTATAACCATATCCTGTAAAAAATTAGGTGAATGCGATCTCTTTCTCCAAATATCTTATCTTACTGTGTTCACCCGTGTTCACCCTTCTACTTGTGATGACGGGAGATGATAAAATGCTCCCATGATGAGACTGAGCGAGGTGGGTGGTGCAGGCATTGTGATGGACATGGACCTTCTCACGGTAAGTCACGAGGAGGATCCTCTGCCTACAGACCATGGCTGACCTTGGGCAGCTGAAACTGGAGAAAGCAAAAACGCACAACTAAGGAGGAAGACGGTAATTTCTCTTCCTTTCCAGGTTTGTATTTTAATTTTGTCTTAGAGTACGTGTTACTTTCACGATGGAGAAGAAATAGAGGCTTGGAAAACATGAAAAGCTGGAACTTTTTACTTTTCCTCTCGTAGGTCTTTTGGGAAAAATAAAACCTCTCTAAAAGGAAATTATTTGAGGGGCGCCTGGGTGGCTTAGTCGGTTAAGCGTCCGACTTTCGCTTGGGTCATGATCTCGCGGTTCGTGGGTTCGAGCCCCGCGTCGGGCTCTGTGCTGACTGCCAGCTCAGAGCCTGAAGCCTGTTTCAGTCTGTGACTCCCTCTCTCTCTGACCCTCCCCTGCTAACGCTGTCTCTCTCTCTCTCCTAGAAATAAATAAAAATAAAAAAAATAAATAAAAAATAAATAAAAGGAAATTATTTGTGACCAATGTATATCAGGGCTCAACGCTAAGCAATTGAACGTATCTCACTTAATACTTACGGCAACCCCGAAAACCAGATAATTCATCCCGTTTTTATGTATGAAAAATCTGAGGCTCCAAGTGAAGCATCTTGCCCACATCGCACAGCTAATAAGCACCAGAGCTGTGCTGTTTCCACGTTGTTGCCGCTGCCAGATACACCTCGAGTGACCTCCCCTCCAGGAGAAATCATTTATTAAGAAGGAAAACATGACGACTTTAATTATTTAAGGAATGAGATTAAAATGCAATTTTAATTTGAGCTTTTGCCTCGCCTTCGTTTGTTTTGTTGAGAGACTGAAAGAGCAGGAAAGCACATCAAAGAGCGTCTTTTCAAACTCAGCCAGCCTTGTTTCGGCTGTTCAGATGGGAGCAAAAGAATTAGCAGTCTGTAGGAATAGTTCGTTATCAAGCGTGTTTTCCTTCTGCCGGCCCTGAGTGACCAAACCACCTCTCACTGCACGGGATCCTCCTCGCTAATACACCGGAAAGGCTCTCAGGATCTTTCCTTCAGCCTTCTGCTACCGCACCTGGTGATGGATCTCAAACCAACAGCACATAAGTGACCATCCTCAGGGCTGTGTTTGATGACCATTCCTATTTCTTAAACTTCTTATACCTGCACCTCAGGCCCAACACACAGTCACCTGCAGAGGCTGCTCTCATTTTCTTGTTTTGGTTCCTTTCTTACTTGTTTTATGCCTAACCGACTAGAAGCCATTTTAAGCAACTTCCTCACTCTTAGGGCAGAGCCCACAGGTGAGGAAAATCGGGGTCACCACTCAGGATACGTGTAGGGTTTGGTTCAAGGTACGTCATATGCTGGAGCCAGAAGCCAGAATCTCATTAGCACTCTTTCTTCTATTGACTTTCTTTGTTTTTTAAGAATTTATTTTTTGAAACATTTATTTATTATTGAGAGACAGAGAGAGACAGAGCATGAGCAGGACAGGGACAGAGAGAGAAGGAGACACAGAATCTGAGGCAGGCTCCAAGTTCAGAGCTGTCGGCATAGAGTCCAACACGGGGCTCAAACTCACCAACTGTGAGATCATGACCTGAGCCGAAATCAGACGCCTAACCGACTAAGACACGCGGGTGCCCCAAGATTTTATTTTTAAGTAAACTTTACACCCAGCATGGGGCCCGAACCCACAGCATGCTCCACCGCCTGTACCAGCCAGGCACCCCTGTTCTATTTACTTTCTGGAAACTTAGAGAAAAATAGTTTATTCCTCCCCACTCACATATCTTCCCCTGACAATGGGGACAGAAAGATTATAGCTTAACTCTGTCCCCTTGTTATATTTATGGGTCAATTCTTATAGTAAAGGAATTAACACAACTAGAAAAGTCTGTACTAATCTCTGTGCATGTTTAAAAAGTTTTTTTAATATTTTCCTCTTTCATCTTCGCTTCACACACTTCTACAAATTATGCTGGTTCTATTCCTCTAGTGCATTAAGCTAGCGTGTTGCTATGTCTCAGCTCTCCATGTGGGTTCCGGCATCAAAGCCTTGGGCCAATTTTATTTCATTTGTATTTGCTGTCAGAACAATGTCTTTATTCTAAAATGCCCTTCTCAAATCACCTCTCAGGTGGTTTGGTAGAAGCAGCATGCAGCAGAAAAATAATATCTTTTTTAAAATCCGTGTTATTTCTTTTATGTTGTACCCTATGAATACTGAATGCACAGAACACTCAAACAACGTCCCAAGTTCCATTTTTAAGATGAAAAGTACCTTTCATTTTAAATCTCCCAGAGACAACTGATCTGCTTTCCTTCTTTGTAAGGGGTGTGGGGGAGGGGGCTATTCAAATCACTGCTGCGCGATAAACATTTTTACAATTTCATTTGTTTTAGGCTGTTGAATGACATCCGGATTGATGCGATTTGGTACCAAAGTCTCCCAAAACAAAGCCTGAAGTGCACTCAGGCCGCTGACGCTGATGGGGCTGCAGAATTCTCTGCGTCAAATTAACACAAAGAGGAAGCAAGGGTGAGAGTGGACTCCAGAACTCAGAGCCCCATCACCCTACTTAACTGCACTGTGTCACTGTGGACCATTTGCAGGAAATCGCCTTTCCTTTGGCGCCCAGTGTAGGGAGCAAGAGTGAGGGAGAGGAAGAGATTTAAGGAGAAATTACAGCAAGCTGGCAGGTAGCGGGCAGAGGATCAATCCAGTTTGTCACATTAAGGATTGTAAAGAATCCATCTCAGAGTGACACTGATGATTCAGGGTATTAAGTTCAGGTCGCAGTACGGCAAATGGCAGTGGTAAAGCCCAGAAGGGAATTCAAGCCTGGAGAATGCTGGAAGAAAGGAAGACAAGACCCAGCATAACAGCCGGTTCTGAAAAGCTATGTCTGCCAGGGAATCGAAGTCTTCCCTTCGCCCTTGCACTCACCTTGTCTCCTTGACTGCAGTGTCCACGACGCTCGGTTGTTGAGAGCTGTGCACGGCTGGCCTTTCCAGACGTCAGGAACTGGATGCTAAGAGAGTTAACTGTTGTGCATGCATGTCTCTGTGCTGGGCATAAAGGAGTCACTGGTGTGACTCCAGCTAATGCAAACCACCTCCCATCCACCATTACTGCCAGCTTCTTGAGAGACAATGGTTTACCCCCAGCAGCCCCACAGAGGGGTGTATCCTAAGACCTTGGCCAATTCCTTTGATGGTGTCTATCTACCACGTAACTGCTAGGTGACAATTCCTCTTTGTTCTTCATTGCTCTTAATTAGAGGGTATATATTGACTTGTGTATTTATTTAGTTTCTGTCTTTCCACTATCGAGTAAGCCCCACGAGGCGCATCTCATTCACCACTATATCACCTCTGCCAAGCACGGTGCCTGGCACAGAAGGCCGCCAGTAACTCTATGTGATATATGTGAAAGGAAGGAGGGAATGGTTGGGCGGATGAATGCATGGATTTAGAAAATAAGTTTCAGGAAGTAGAATATCGCGTATTGATCTCAGATCTGGTCTGGTCAGAAAAGAAAGATATTTTGTCACACTACTTTGATTCTGAAATTGTCTCATATTTCAACATCTCTCCAGCTGAATGGGTCTTACGGATCCTTAAAATTATCATCAGCAGAGTTGGCCGCTTTTTTCTTTCTTAATAGTGCCTAATATAAAGGTGCATTTTACAATCAGTGGTGTTTGGAAGAACTGTCATCACAAATCATAGCCAATATATAGGCAAATAAGACTACGTATATGGATGCTTCACTCATAACCTTCAGAGGGTTCCTTCAGACAGGGGCTCACCAAACGTTACATCAGAATCACCCTGGTAAAAACACAAATATCTGGAATCAATCCCAGAGATTCTTACTTAGTAAGCCCGAAGCAACACCCAGTAAACTGTACTTTTAAAGCCTTGCAATCCTTGGGATACAGGTGATCTTCTCCTCCCGCTTTGATAAAAGGTTTTAATAGGTTTCTCCAGCCCTAGCCAGGTAACTAGAAAGGTTTCAAGAATTCTTTACAACAGAACTAACCAGTGAGGCATAGGTCCCCTGCCTGCAGCCATTAATTACTGTTCCTATGGGAAGACAGAGCAATGGAATGTGATACAACTAAAAATGGCAACTGTATTCCAGATTGTATAGTGTCCTGTGGCCAAGTTCACATCAAAAACCATAATAAGTGAACCACAGGAACATACCCAGGAGCCAACATTTGGGTGGATTTGTGGAAGATGATTCAGCGATTCTCAGGTGCACAAGGGCTGAGAAGGAAGGCATCTAAACAGGGGGAATAGAGCGTATGCAAAGTAGACAGATGGGGATGTCACTTCAAATCTCTTTCAGGGCCAAGGACTCAATCAATAGTAATAAATGAAGATATTAATACCCCTTCTTTTGAAGATATTCATACCACCTTTCATTTATTAAAGCAGGTATACCTCTAATATCTAATGGTTTCCTTGTAACTACAACAGAATTGAGAATAATGTATGCAGTAGGAGCCTCAGAGGCAGACCCAATCATCCTCATCTCCTGGTATTTGGGTTCTGTGTCATCCATGCTCATTGAGTGTGGGGACCCAGTAACCTGCTTCTAATGAATAGAGAACAACAAAGGTGTTGGGATGTCACTTCCAAGAGCAGGTTACAAAAAGACTTGATTCCATCTTGCTCATATCCTCTCACTTTCTTGCTGACTTGGTCTGAGGAAGTCAGCCTCCACGTTGGGAGCATTGCTATAGAGAGCAGTCCACATGCGAGGAACAGAATCCTGCTGATCATCACGTAACTGACCTTAGAAAAAGACCTCTTTCGGCACTCCCCCAAGTCAAGCCTTCAGATGAGACCAAAGGTCTGCTTGACAGATTGACTACAACCTTATCAAAGGCTTTGAGTCAGAGGCTTCCAATTAAGTTGGGTTCAGATTCCTGATCCACAGAATCAATCAGATAATAAATGTTTGTTCTTTAAGCTTCCAAGATTGGGGTAACTGGTTAACATGGCAGTAAATAAATAATACAGTACTCTTGGGAGGGGGGGAAATTTATCCTTTATTATCTCATGAGATGCCCATTAAAAAAAAGGCTTGTTATTACCCCCATTTTACTGATGAGGAAGTAAGTTCAAGGACGTTGTTACTTGAGAAGGTCATTTAGCTCAGATATGATTCTACCAAGCTCATGCCCTTTGACCACATTTGCGAGAGCATTAAAAATCTGAGAACTGAGTCCTGCCCCTAACTCGACCAGTATTCTGTGTCACTATCTGTGCCACTGAGTTGCTCAATTAACCCCTCTGAATTCTAGACCCTTCATGGATATGACGAGATGATGCAGTTGAGAGTCACTAAAATCCCTCTTAGCTCAAAATTTCTCCATTTGATACAAGGAGAAACAAATCTAAGTAACTGAAGTTATTTTGATGCCTAGGGGTTATAATAAAAAAAGAAGGAGAAGAAAGAAAACCTATGCTTCTGCTCCAGACTGTCGGGTAGCCTGTGCTAATGGCATTGTGCGGCCCTTGTTTCTCTCACTGCCCACCGCAGAGAGGTGTGGCCCTCCATTATCCTGACAGAGGAATAGTCCTCTGCAGTGACCTTTCCGGATCCAGTGTGCTGCCCAGTTCTGCGGGCCATACATGCCAGATGACGTTTAGAAGGCCAATTTTTATTAGCAGGGCCTATCGTCTAAAGTACTAAGTTACCCATGCTTAGAAAAGCATTATCTTATTATTGTAACTTACCCCTTTTAGTTAGTACCTGATGCTTCAGAGAGCCAGAGGCATCACCAAGAGGAAAATCAGCATAAAATATATTGCTTGAGTACTAATTGAAAGAACTTACCGTTACATGATGAGTTAACAGTAAGTTATCGGAAATGTGACTACCTTTATTGTAAGTGATTTTTTTTATCTACACACGAGAGGAATCGGAGAGTAAATGTACTGTGCCATTAGGAACCTGTCAGTCACATATGTATGAGACATCAGCTCCATCTAGAACAAAATTTCCTGCCACTCAGAAATCATGTTTAACATTAATCTGTTATTCTGATCTGTACTCACTAGATTTTTGATGGACGGATGAACTTATGAAAATTTTAATACATTTTCTAAAAAGCTAAAACTTGGAGCTAAATTTACTTTTTGGTAAGAATTAACCATCATGATCTAATGTCCATTCCCATTGTTCATTACACTCTTACCCATCTTATCATGATTAAATGTCTACAGAGACCCTATAGAGATACCCGGAGTAGAGACATTCTGTCAAGCTTGCCGCCAAGTTACTGCTTACTGCGGGCCGCAGTTTGGAGGAAGAAAGTAGACTCCGGCACAATCACAAATATGTACTAAATTTATCTACTCACAGATGAAGACAACAATGCATTTTAAATACTTGTTTTCCTTCGAGCAGGATAAAGATGGATAAATAAATAGAAATCAGCAATGCTGTGGCCAGAGCACAGAATAAAAAAATCTATTTTTCATGGGATGACATCCTAAATTAAAATAAACGGCAAAGATTTAAAACACAAATGGGCGACCGAAAAGAACTGATGAGCACACAGAAAAAGAGAAGTAGAAGGAGTTTTTAAAAATCACAGGAAATGTAATTCACCTGAAGTAGGGACAGTGCCGTTACCTTAGAGGTAATAGCCTCACCATTTACCCAAGTGACACTGTCTTTGGTGCACATCTTCTCTTCTCCCACCCTTGAACTACAAGGACCATCACAACCTGATCATGTCACAGACTGAAGCTACCTTCAGTACCTAGAATCCAAAAGGAACTTCCTTGACAAGGATTATATACTATTTGTTCTCCGAAATTGCTAGGGGTCACCCACAGTCAAGAATATCTTTTTAAACAATGCAACCACTTGACATTTCGTGGAGTTTGCATATTTCAGGATATTTTAACAGCCTATCTCAGCATGAGACACACTTATAACCAAAAAAACTCTTTGTTGTTTATTGGAAATTCAAACTTAACTGAACAGCCTCTATATTTTATAAATGCTTTATTTGCTTTTGAGAGAGAGAAACAGAGTGTGAGCAGGGGAGGGGCAGAGAGAGAGAGAGAGGAGACATAGAATCCGATGCAGGCTCCAGGCTCTGAGCTGTCAGCACAGAGCCAGACGTGGGGCTTGAACCCACGAACCGTGAGATCATAACCTGAGCTGAAGTCAGATGCCTAACCAAGTGAGCCACCCAGGCAAAACCAAATAGCCTATATTTTTATTTACTAAGTCTGACAGCCCTACCCTTAAGCCCTGAGAGGTGGCAGGACAGTTAGCCAGCTAGTTGCTGCACAGCTGAAATTAGCACTCAAATCTCAAGACACTTAGCCATGAGCACCTTCCAAAGTATAGTAAAGCCAGGAGGAAAGTAACTGCTAAACTAATCTGAGGTGCAAATCATTAATCACAAAAATAAATGGGTCAGGGGGAGTAGAAGAAGGAATATATCTCCCTAACTGGCTAGGAGAAAAAAAAAAAAAAAAAAACCTTCAGAGAAACTGCCATTATTTGAAACTTATTTTCAAACAAATATGTCTCTTGTTTTCTGAAAGTGTCTCTCAACAAGTCAGTCTCCCAAATTCATGCTAGAATCTCTTCTCCAAATCTCTTCTTTCTGGGAGAGACCAGAAAGAAGTCTCCAGAATCCGAAGTTAAGACACATAAATACATGCTCACATGCAACGGACATTCAGCACTGCAGAGAGTGGTTCCCATTGTGGTGGAGGACACGCAGTTCTTCATTCTCACCATTCTTAAACACTGTGGTTTTGGGGATAAGCTTTCTTTCATGCACCCTGCTGTATGTTCCCTCAAGTTTCCAATCAGCACAATGGGTTAGCTCACCGAAGTTTCCAATCAGTGAAATGGGTTCACCTACAATGATGACAGGCAAGGTTCTCAAACAGATATTGACACTGACAGCCAAGGCACCTTCTATCCCAACTCCACACCCTTCGTTTGGTCTTTTTCCTCTCTCTAGATCCTTTCTTTCCTTTCCAAATTCTCTGGTACTTATTATTTTTTTCTCATCCTTTTTTAAAATTTGTGCATCCTAATGAGGACCCTTATCACTAAAATAATATTGAACTTTAGCAATCAAGATGTCCTACAAGAAGAAAAGGCAAAGCCATAGAAATAGACAATGGATGAGTGGTTGCCAGGGCCTGAGGGTAAAGGGTAGGGCCGGCTACAAAGGGTCACAGGGGGTGACAGAGCTGTTCCGATCTTGATTGTGGCCCTGGTTGCCTAACTGTATCCATTCATCAAAACT